CTCCCCATACAAACCCCACCAACTCTGTCCCATCCCCATACCCACACCAATCACACACCCACCCTGTATCATTTTTCCCAATTTTTATCATTTTCTAGCGTATAAATTTAGCAGCGCCGCCGTGGCCTCTTTCACTGTCGACATCTGAGGCACCATCTTCGGCCATGACTCTGTCCTGCTGCTCCAGTACCACGTTGCTATGGCTTGTCGGAGAGGGTGAAATAGTTGATCCAGATGTTGACCACCAAAGAAAGTGATGGCGAACCAGATCTTCGCCACCAGCCATATCTCTTCCATTTCGAACCGAATCTGAAATTTCTAGATCTTTTTACACTAGTCGGACCTGTCCTGTTGAGGGTACGGTGAATGTTGTGGTGCACTAGTGGTAGTGTGGCGGTACAGGTGGTGGTGGATGTTGTGCAGGTGATGGTGGTGGTGCGGTGGTGATGGATCTCCGAGTGTGTGTCTGTGTATATTTGTGATGGTGGGTGTTGCTGTCGGTGCGGTGGTCGTGATTGTTGGTAATGGCAGNGATGGGGGCGGTGCGGCGGTGATAGATCTCCGAGCGTGTGTCTGTGTATATTTGTGATGGTGGGTGTTGGTGGCGGTGCGATGGTCGGGAGTGTTGGTAATGGCAGCGTTTGGATGGTGTAGTGGTGGTGGAGTGGAGTAGCGGTAGTGATGAGGTGGAAGTGGCGTTTGAGTGATGCCCACATTGGGGTTGGGACAGAGCATTGATCAATATTACTATGTGACCTAAAAGATACATGATTTACTACTAAATTTGTAATTGTGATTTACAAACTTTGTTTTTGTAATTGCGAGTTTGTGTTATTTGTGATTGTGACTATAAATTATGTGTGAATTATGATTGTGAACTCATTAATTAGATTATTGGTTATAAACTTTTATAAGGGTTACAAAATTTTTTTAAAAAAAGTTCACAAATTTATTAATGTTGAAAATATAACTTAAAACCTTGTATTTATGTCATTTTTTCAATTTTTTAGTGGGAACAATACATAAATAAGGTATTTAAGTATCACCATTTCAAAATTAAGAATAGATGTTTTAAATTTCAAAAATCAGGTCTTTATTAAAATTTATTTATGATTTATTTAATTAATTAAATATATTAAGGTCACATATCTATACAATTTGCTCACAAATTAACCATTTAATTAGTCACATATTGTTTTTCAGTCACAAATCAGAATTTTTATGTCACAAGTTATTTTACCATCACAATTCAAAAAATTTATAGGTCACAATTTGTTCATCGGTCACAAATTAAAAATTTAAAAGTCATAATTTATTTATCGATCACAAATCTATCAAATTAATAAGTCAGATATTATTTATTGATTAACAAATATCCAATTTTGTGGTCACAATATCAATTTATTGCCCACAAATCAAAAATGTTAAAGTCACAATTCAAATTTTTAGGTCACAAAATATACAATTTATTG